AAGCTTGATTGGGTCTATACTGTTCGTGCACACAGTGTGTTGGGTCTATACTGTTCGTGCACACGGGGTGTTGGGTCTATACTGTTCGTGCACACAGAGTCAGCATCTATACTGTTCGCACACACAGTGTGTCAGCATTTATACTGTTCGCACACACACGCACCGAAACACGAGAGCGATGCATCGCAATTCCACGTCAGATCGATCGATCGCGCGCGCGATCGCGCGACGCCGGGCGACGAACGACGCATCGCGACGATGGCGTCGCGAACGCTGACGCGCGCGCTCGATCGCGCGCACCGAACGATCGCGCGCGGCGGTGGGACAGAGCGACGGGTGGCGTCGCGGACGATGGGCGTGGGACACGATCCGAGTCAGCAATTACACACCGACGCGACGACGACGACGACGGCGGCGACGGCGACGGCGACTTCGGCGGCGGCGATGCCCGCGGCGTCGCTCGCGCACGCGATCGCGGACGCGTTCGCGCCGGCGGTGCGCGCGATCGAGGGGTCGGGGAGGGGGGGGGGGGACGGCGCGGCGACGCGCGGGACGGCGGGGGGGGAGGCGCTGTACGTGCCGGATATCCCGATGTTTTTGTGCGCGTCGAGACTCGTGCGGGATTCTTCGTACGTGCGAAGTGTTTTGGTGCACGATGAGCGACGGCCGAGGACGAAACCGCGATTGTCGTGGTACGACGCGCGGGACGACGCGTGGGTCCCGCGCGGGTGGTTCGCCGACGGGATCAAGGCGGATTTAGAGTACTACTTTCGCGACGACGGCGCGGAGAGAGGGACGTGATCGCGAGAGAGGGAACGATCGATCGATGGATGTACGAGAACGCGCGCGAGGATTCGCCGAGGCGTCTCGCGGGAGCGCGCCGCGTCGCGCGCCCGAAACCCGTAATTTTTTACACCTGTATCACCCGAAATGTTGTAACGCGCGCGATGAAGAGTCGTGACTATCCCTTTGCGGCGTCGTCGACGCCGCCGAGCGTCCGTCGCACCCCGTCGAGCGCGCACGCCACCGCGGGGGCGACGAGACGATTCGCCAGCTCGGCGACGCTTTTGAGCTCTCGAAGCGACGTCTTGACGCGCGCGACGTCGGATTTCAACTTTTCGATCGCCGCCGTCGATGGTTTCTCACGAGATCGCTCCACCGCGGCCCACTTCGCTCGATCGACTTCGTGCGCCGCCCTGACCTCGCTCGCGATTCTTCTATACCTGTCGACGCGTCTCGTCCACTCGGCGTCCCGCGCGCGCACCGCCGCGCGCACCGCCGCCGTCTCCGTCTCCCAATGCGCATCAAAATCACGCGCCATCTCCCGCATCTTACGTTTCAACGACGCGTTCTCAACCAAAAGCGCCTCGATTCGTCCCTCCGTCGTCGTCGTCGTCGTCGCTCGCCCGTCCCGTCCCGTCCCGCCCGCGTCGCCGCCCGCGTCGTCCTCGTCCGCGTCCTCGTCCCACCGTCGCACTCGCGCCGCGGCGATCCACGCCGGCGTCACCGCGCCGTCACACCGCGCGCGCGCCTCTTCGCCCTCCTTCCGTCGTCGCATCGCGCTCGCCTGCGTCCATCGAACGGGGTTCAGTCGTCGTGCGAATGTGCGCTTTAATTGAAATCTCGCGCACGCATCGTCCCCGCACCCCGCGCGCGCGTCCACCGCGATCGAATCGAATCGAACGCACCGGAAGACTCCACATCGACCCATCGCTCGCGCTCCCGTCGTCCGACATCGCGCGCGCGTCGCTCGACGTCGCGTCGCGTGATGTCGTGTGCGCGAACGGTATAGACGGCTGACCACGTCGTCACATCACCGCGCCCGTCGCGCGTCGACGCGCGCGGCGATGCGCGCGCGCGCCTCCATCGCCCGCGCGCGTATCTCACGCGTCGTCCCCGCTCGACATCGCGCGCGCATCGCCGTCGCGCCCGCGCGCGCGTCGGCATCATCATCATCGTCGTCATCGCTCGCGCTCCCGGGCGACGACGCGTTCGAGCGGCTCCTCGCGCGCGCGATGGACGCGGACGCGGTCCACGGGGCGGCGACGGATGGGAAAAAATTCCTCGACGTCTCCGACGACGATGCGGCGTCGGAGACGTCGTCGACGGTCCCGGGCGACGACGCGTTCGAGCGGCTCCTCGCGCGCGCGATGGACGCGGACGCGGTCCACGGGGCGGCGACGGATGGGAAAAAATTCCTCGACGTCTCCGACGACGATGCGGCGTCGGAGACGTCGTCGACGGTGAAGAATGAGGATGATTTCAATGATTCGAATCCATCGCCGCGTGCGCTGTGCGCGCGATGGACGACGACGGCGCGGTTCGGGGAGAAGGCGCGCGCGCGCGCGCTCTTGGATCGATGGGCGCGAACGATCGGTGCGGAGGCGGGGATCGCGCGCGAGCGGTTTGAGATCTCGAGCGGGTACGTGGGGGGGAAAGAATCGACGTTGGAGATGACCGTGCGTGGATTCAGAGGGTTGGGTGAGGTGGAGACGTTCTTCGCGCGCGTGCCGAGAGGGAAACACGTCGAGTGGGGGAAAGCGTTCGCGACGTGCGTGGTGGATGGATCGCCGGAGTGGGTGGTGATGGAGACGCGGGGGGTTGGAGTGGGGGTGGGGGGGGACGAGAAAGGAGACGCGGACGCGGCGCGCGACGCGCCGGCGGAGACGGAGACGAAGACGGATTACGAAGACGTGGACGAGAGCGCGTTGGTTCCGGGGACGACCCTTCCGGACGGTCGGTACGTCATGATGGATTGGAAGGGGGAGCCGATGTTGATCAACCCTGGGGATAAGATGCCGAGGTTCTGATCGCGCGAGGACGGCGACGACGACGTGGGGGGCTAGAAGTGAATTTTGTATAACCACCGTCCGACGCGCGCGCCTTTTCAGCCGTCGCGTCGGACGTTTCTCTCGCATCAATATCCTTCTCAACGCACCGCACGATCGATCACTGCGTCATGACGAAGAATTCATCGTCCTCGCTCTCATCCCGCTCGCTTCCCGAGGGCGATCGACAGTACGGATGCGACCTGCTCGCGCTCGAAGTCGCGCGCGCGGCGCTCCCCGCGCCCTCGAGCGAAAATCTCGGCGCGCGCGGCGGGAGACCGTGGAATCGTCCCTCGTACGCGTCCGAGCCCGTATCTTGACTCAAAGAAACCATCCCTGGCGTCCCCGGCGTTCGAACGCCCTCTTCGATCGCTCCGATTCCCGGCGGCGCCGCGCCGTTTGCGATTTGCCTCGCGCGCGCTAAACGAATCGCATCCGTCGCCCTGCGACTCCTCGCGATGATGCGATCTCGCACCCTGTGCCGCTCTCGCTCCTCCCGCACGCTCTCCGGCGTGAAACCTCTCGGTAACGGCGCCTGACACGTCGGACACTTACGAATATCGTGCTCCCGACATCGCCGCAAGCAGCATTGATGAAACACGTGTCGACACGCCAACCCGGTCGCGAGCTCCACCTTATCCGGATTCGCCGTCGCCTCCGGCCTCGTCCGATCCAACGGGCTCTGGCATATCGCGCAATCGCTCTCACCGAACGCGAATCCCGACGTCGGCGTTCGCGTAGACGACGTCGGCGTCCGCACGCGCAAACCGTCCCGCAGCGCCTCCGCGAGCGCCTCCGCGCGTTCACTCGGCGACCCAGCGAACATGGTCCCGCTCTCCGATCCATCTCGCGACGTCGGCGTCGACGGCGTCGACGGCGCGCGCGTCATCACCTCCGCCATCGCCCCACCGGCGCCGTCGAATCGATTTTAAATTGATTAATTGAATTCAAGTCGATTGGTTTCGCGCACGTCGCCAATCGATCCGACGCGACGCCACCCCGCGCGCGGTATCGACGCCCGTATCGCCGCCCCGAGCACGTCCCGCGTCGTTCTCCACGACCGCCCTCGCGTTCGCGCCGGCGCGCGCGCGTCGACCCGACCGAGCGTCGACGTGTGTCGCCGCGTCGTCGCGCGTTCGTCGTTCCCCTCGGCGCCGGGCGACGCCGCCGCGCGTCATCATCGGCATCATTCGACCATCATTCGCGCCCACGATGGAACGACGCGCGATGGTCGATCACCCATCGATGATCGCGCTCGGTTGGAGTGCGATGAAGCAACCGGCGGCGATGCAGACGGCGCCGATGAAGGCGACGCGGACGCGGCACGCCCGGATGACGAGCCATCGAACGCAGCCGACGACGACTGCGACCGAGGCGAAGCCGACGCCCGCGAGCGCTCGCCTGTGCGCGACGACCTCGATGTTTTCACCGTGATCACCGCCATCGATGGCGACGACGATCGGGGGCGTCGTGGCGGTGTCCGACGCGCGCGCGTCTCGCCCGCGACGGTTGGCGCGCAGCGCGCTCCGCCGCGGCGCGTTCGTCATCAACTCCAAACAAATCTCACACGTCGAACCCGAAATCTCCGACGCTTTCGCGAGGACGTACGCGTGTAAACACTCCTCGTTCGCGTGGGCGAGGCCGTGCTTACACGCGCACCCGAGGTAGGTTGCCTCGCCGCGCGCGACGTCGCCGCGCGTCACCTCTAAAGCACACACTCGACAACATCCCAAAATCTCATCCTCGTCCCCCGTCTCCGTCGTCCGCGCCGCGTCTCGCGCGAGGACGACCACGTCGAGACAATTTTCCTCGTCCGCGTCCGCGTCTCCTTTCTCGTCGTCCGCGCGCGCGTCCATCGTCGTCGTCCTCGGCATCGTCCTCGCCCTCGCGCGTGCGAATCGCGCGCACGAGTCGAATCACGCGCCCCGCGTCGCCCCCACCCCGCGTCCCAGACCTCCGGCGCGCGCGCGTTCGATCGAGCAAAAATTCTCCAATCCAACGCCCGCGTCGCCCGCGCCCGCGCGTCCGCACTCGCGTCGCGCACTCGCGTCGCGCGCGAATCCCTCGGACGTTCGACGCTTCGTCTTCTGGACCTCACGACCACATCCGTCGCCGCGCCCGTCGACGCGACGCGCGCGATGTCGGACGCCGTCGACGACGGGGTGACGATGAATATCACGGACGCGGACGACGGCGCGCGCGCGCGTAAGGGGAACCCGCGCGCGCGGAGAGTGA